GGGACTTTCACTTGGGAGTGCAGGTCAGGATAGAGTTGTGTCCATTTCTCTGTTACTGCTTTTCAACCTTGTTATGGCATTACTTGAAAATGCATCTTCCCTCAGGTGTGTTCTTTTTTAATTTTCCAAGTTGTTGCTTGCAAATTTTTTTTAAAAATAAACAAAAACAGAACACTAAAAAAAGAGAAAGAAATTAACTCAAAATGGGTCACAGACCTAAATGTAAACACAAAACTTAAAACTTTTTGTAAAAACATAGGAGAAACCCTTCATGACCCCAGGTTAGGTAAAGAGTTCTTAGATTTGACATCAAAAGCACAATCTGTAAAAAAAAAAAAAAAGATAAATTGGACTTCATCAAAATTAAAAATCTTTTGCTCTAAGAAAGACCCTGTTAAAAGAACGAAGAGATAAACATGACAGGAAATGTTTACCAAGCACATATCCAAGAAAAGACTTGCATCCAGAATATATAAAGCACCCTGAAAACCAACAGTAAAGCAACAGTGAGAAAACAAACAAGCCAATTGAAATATGGGCCAAATATCTGAACAAACACTTTACAATAGAGGATATACAGAAGGCAGATAAGCAATGTTAAGCATCATTAAGTATTAGGGAAATGCAAATTCCAACTATGATGACCTACAACACTACACATCTAGTGGAGTGGCTTGACCATCTTCAGTACAAATTAAATTAGAAGCTTATTGTATGTGAACTTCCCCCTTAATAATTCACTCCAAGAATCCTCACTTGAACATGGACAAGATGTTGGAAGCATGTCCTGGTATCAAGTCCACAATATCTAAGGAAGAGTCACACATATATGCACACAAATGGGATTTTTTCATTATTCTTGCCTCAGATCTCCTTGCTTTTCTATTTTAATTTTTTAAAGATTTATTTTATTTTTAGACAGAGGGGAAGGGAGAGAAAAAGAGAGAGAGAGAAACATCAACGTGTGGTTGCCCCTTGTGCACCCTCTGCTGGGGACCTGGCTCACAATCCAGGTATGTGCTCTGACTGAGAATTGAACTGACCTTTTGGTTCACAGGTCAGCGCTCAATCCACTGAGCCACACCAGCCAGGGCAGATCTTCTTGCTTTTTGTCAAGGAACTCCTTGTTCCATGAGCTTTAGCTCTTCCATGTTTGGCTTCTGTTTCTTCTAGTTTTTAAATCCTACTTCTGTTACCATGAGTGACAATGATGACACTCACACAGGTTAGGTCTGATAGAAAGTTTAGGGTCTTCTAGGTGCCACACCTACACTTCAAATAGATTCCACAAGGGGGAAAATAGATTCCACAAAGGGGGTGGTGTTCACTGAGGTGCTGCTCTTTACCTCAGATTACTTTTAGGACTTGTGGATCACTAAAAGAGATGAAATGTAAAGTGCACAATTAATCCATCCATGCTTTTTTTTTTTTGAGTTTCAAAAAATACTTCTATTATTTATTTTATAAACCTCCAACTTCCTCTCCCTCCCTCCCTACAACTGGAATTTCATCTTGTTTTCATGTAGCAAAACAATGACAACGCTAATCAGAGTAAGCTACTCCAAGAAGAGGATTAAGCTAACAGGTTAACAGGCAAAATATAAATATATGCACTCTAGCATGCACAACGGTTTAGCCACTAGGAAATGCAAATGGGATCCTGAAGAATGTGGTCAGATCCAGGGTGCAGTGAAGGTGCGCTGCTGTGCAGCTGTGTTACGTGTTCCTGGGCTGCACCTCTTGGCCACTAGCTGGGTCTTGCCAGGGGGGAAGACTGTAGCCAATACCAAGTAGAGATGTGGAAAGCACTGAGTGGAGTTAGAGGATGCGTGCAGGAACCATTAGGTGGGAGAAGTACTAAACATTGCTGAGAGCATCCACCCCAGGAAGGACTTTACCTTCCAGTAGCTCCAAACTGGCAACACCCCCAGGGCTGACATGGCTGACTTTGTCCTTCATGTTCCATCTGGTGCAGCAGGTGGTAGTGTCTCCACCACCTATGATGATGATGCAGTTCCTGGAAGTGGCTTTCACCACCTCATCCATGAGGGCTTCAGTCCCTCAGGCAAAAGCTTCCCATTCAAATATACCCACAGGTCCATTCTACACAATCTGCTTTGCCCTAATGACAGCCTCAGTGTATTCCTTGCTGCTCTCAGGCTCACAGTCCAAGCCATCCAGCCAGCAGGTGTGCCAGAGGCCACAGTGGCTTGGCCAGTCTTATTCTCATCAAACTTGTCAGCAGTGACGAAGTCAACTGGCAAGGTAATCTTCACACCATTCTTCTCAGCTTTGGACATCAGATCTTTGACGATCTTGGCTCCCTCTTCATCAAACAAAGAAGTGCCAATCTCCATGTTGTTGAGCACCTTAAGGAAGGTAAAAGCCATTCCACCACCAACAATCATTTCATTGACTTTGTCCAACGTGTTATTGATCAGCTGGATCTTGTCTCCAACTTTAGCTCTGCCCAGGATGACTGGGAAGGGTTGCTCTGGGCTTTCCAAGACTTTGCCAAAGTAATTCAGTTCCTTCTTCATTAAAGAACTTCCAGCTTTCTGTGGCCAACTGACTCCCACCACAGAGATATGGGCTCAGTGAGAGGTGCCAAATGCATCATTGACATAGACATCCCCTAGCTTGGAAAGTGAGGCTCGGTCGGAAAGCTTCTATTTTAGCTGGTTTGGCTTCAGCCTTGTTCCCAGAAGCATCTTTTCCCTTCCCTTATTCCTACACATGAAAGTGAAGATTCTCCAGCAGGATGACAGAGCCAGCAGCTGGGTCAGCACAAGGTTTCTTCACTTCAGGGCCCACACAGTCCTTAAGAACAGAACATCCTTGCCCAGCAGAGATTTGAGCTCTACGGCAGCTGGCTCCTAGGAGTACTTGTCCCCCTAGGCATGGGTACACCATCAGGCTGACCCAGGTGGCTCATGTGAATAACTCTCCATTGTCCAAGCAAAATTTGATGCTTGGAATTGCAGCCTTGATATGCTGGTTGCTTGTTATCTGGTTGTTCTTCATAGGAACCGTGAAATTCACTCTCATGATGACCCACTTCCCCTTCATGTCCAGCTTATCCAAAGTCAGCTTGTTAGAAAGCAACATCTTGGCAATACAGCAGTGGCAAGAGGCCGAGGGATTGCACAGCGAGGGAGACAGCAACGAGAGTGCCCATCCATGCTTTTTAAATAGCATCTCATTTAAATAACATAAATGCTGACTAAACACTAATCATTTAAGTTCAGCTATTTTTTAAAAGAGAAAACATTCATCTTTCAGTCCGTGTATAGATATTTGTTAAACACCTACTGTGTACAAGGCTTTATTCTAAATTTTGGGGATACAAACAAAATGTATTTGAAGCAAGATATACAAGAAATGATAAACTTCAACTACTGTTAACTAAGAATTATTCCTGTATAACTTCATCTGAATTTTCTTCTGAAGTTTACCCAGCAAATCGACTCTCACTTTAAAAAAAAAAAGATTTTATTTATTTATTTATTTTTATGGGAAAAGGGGGAGAAAGGAGAGTGAGGCAGAGTCAATGGGTGGTTGTCTCTCGCACTACCCAACTGGGGACCCGGCCCACAACCCAGGTATGTGCCCTGACTGGGAATCAAACCAGCAACCTGTTGGTTTGTGGGCTAGTGCTCAATCCACTGAGCAATAGCAGCCAAGAATTGACTCTTATCTTTTATGAGGGTCAGAGGTAACAGAACTTTCATCCATGGCAGACTTCCCATAAAATTTCTCCCACCACTGTGTCCTATTTAATCAGCATGCTTACAACGACCATCTCAGCTAGCTCTTGTAAAGGGAATTCAGCCCATCACTAAGTTTTCTTCTCCCTAACATGAGTTTTTAAAGAAATGCCCAATCTTTCTTTTTCCTGTTATTTTCATCTAAAAATATAAGAGGCAAACCTGCTAGTAAGTAACCCTTGATTTTCTTACCCTTCTCTGAAATGTTTTTCTACCATCCATGATGTTGTTACCTGGTCAAAGAAGTCATTCCTTTCAGTGGGTCTTTTTAAAAAAAATTACAATATGTGTACTTAGCCCCTTTCTCATGAATCTAGAATTTATTTATTTATTTTAAAGATTTTATTTACTTATTTTTAGACACAGGAGAAGGGGGGAGAGAAACATCAAAGTGTGTTTGCCTCTCGCACCTGCCACTGGGGACCTGGCCCACAACCCAGGCATGTGCCCTGACTAGGAATCGAACCAGTGACCCTTTGGTTTGCAGGATGCACTCAATTCATTGAGCCACACCATCCAGAGCTAAATGAAGATTTAAAAATGGAATTCAATTCCCACTGCTGTTAAAATGTATCACATTTGCAGTTCGTAGCCATCTGTGGCCCTTTGCTAACAGAGATCATTTTTCTCCTTGTGAATTGAAGAGACGTGTTGACTGGGACAAAATTGAATGTAGTAAAACAGGTTCTAAAGTGTTTTCTCATTTTTTGTTTCTCAGCAACAAATAGCCTGTGCACTGCAGGCAGCCCCTCTCCGCTGGGATGTGCCAACTGAGCAGTTCCACAAAGGAAGGAGGGTCAAGCTTCTAGAAGGGACTTCTGAAGTCCAAGGATGGAGATGGCAGCCACTGACCCACAGTGCTGTGCTTTTCCACGTGCAAAGCAGTGCTGCCTTTTGATCTTGGCTGAGGGCTTAGTCTGAGAGCATCATGGTTCTGCTGTTTCCTCAGTTAAGATCCGAGCCATCCAGGGGATTCAGATTCAGGGACTCAGCAGTCAGCCTGGACCATAGCAGAGCTAGGTGGGGATTTGGAGATAGGGATGCATGGACCTCACACCAGCCTTGACCTGCTCCTTCAGTATAGAGCAAAGGTCAGAGCTCTAAAAGGTATACTAAACTTATAACAAAGATTATGTATTTTAAAATATATATTACTTTTATCATTATAAGAATAAAAACATTTTTTATATCTTGAAGAGAACTGAAGAGCATGAACCCTTTGTGTCCCCTCAGGAGCTGCTTCCACTATCTGTTTAATCATTCTGGTGTTCACTAAGTTCTGGGCCCTGTCTGTGCTCACCTTAGCCTGGCTCGCCTATGATTGGAAAACCCACAGTCAAGGTAAGAGACATGGGAAGAGTGGTGATCCCTGTCTGTCCCAACAATGTAACCACAGAGAGAGGGATGTGGAGGGAGAGAATGGAGGAGAGGCAGAGGGGGAAAGGGTGGGGAGAGGAAAGAAAGGGATACAGAAAGGAGCGGGTAGTGAAGAGGGAGAGGGAGAGAGAAGTGCAAAGGATGGTTAGAGGGAAGGTGGGGAGAGAGGGGAGCAAACTTCAGTCAGGGAACAGAGGTCTCTGCCAGGCTGCCCAGAAAGAATTTTTAAAACAGATTTTATTAGTTTTACAGAGAGGGGAAGGGAGGGAGAGAAACATTAGTGTGTGGTTGCCTCTCATGTGTCCCCTTCTGGGGACCTGGCTCCCAATCCAGGCATGGGCCCTGACTGGGAATCAAACCAGGGGCCCTTTGGTTCACAGGCCTGTGCTCAATCCACTGAACTACGCCAGCCAGGGCAGAATTCAAAGGTTGAGGTTTCTGTGTAGGTAGCTCGCCTCACATTCTTTGCCTATCCCCTTTCTGGCTGACACCAGAAGTGCAGGAACTTCCTATGTTTTCTTGGGAGTTGGATTCAGGAACAGTACCTACAGCTCTATACCCTTGTGTGACCTGAGGACTATAGCAAGAACCCTCCACCTCTGGTAATGGTAGAAGAATTGGCAACATCTCACCTGCTCTTCCCTTTCCTTCTGTACCCACAGGTGGTAGGCGTTCAGCTTGGGTACGAAAATGGACCCTCTGGAAGTATTTCCAAAATTACTTCCCAATAAAGGTGACTACCCCTTTGTCTGGGTGTCCTCGGGCCCTGTTGCTCAGATTCTTCCCTCTCCACTCAGCTTCATGTTTTCGAAGGCTTTGGTGGCCAGTAGTGAAGGTCAAGGCTCAGAAGCATAATGCAGAGTAGTGGCCCAGGATAGATGGGGAGGTGAGGAGATGGATGAATGGAGAGCAGCATTTCCTCATAGTGAAAAACCCAGGTCAACCTCTCTGAGCATCATTGCCCCTGATAACATCCCAAATGCACAGGAATTTGGGCTCCCCAAGGGAAACACAGGTTACCTGCTGGGATCTGAGTCCACATGTCCTCTCTATTCCTTCTTCCTATCCACTGTTCTGATTCAATCTCCCTCCAACAGCTGGTGAAGACTCATGACCTCTCTCCCAAACACAACTATATCATTGCCAACCACCCCCATGGTATTTTCTCTTTCGGGGTCTTCATCAACTTTGCCACTGAGGCCACTGGCTTTGCTAAGATTTTCCCAGGCATCACTCCTTCTCTAGGGACCTTGGAAGGGATCTTCTGGTGGCCAGTTGTGCGAGACTATGTGATGTCAATGGGTGAGTATGGGGAATAATCCTATCCTCTGACCTACCTCAGGGTTCCAACCTCAATAAGCCCTGAGAGACAGTCCAGTTCTTACTTCCTGCTGGAAGAGGACAGTAGAAAAAGAGTCCACAACACACTGGACCAGTAACAGGAGTATATGGCTAAGCATCAGGTTCTAAAATCTGGGAGTCAGCAGGGTAAGTTACGGGCATTCATAAGAGTTGCCAAAATATATTTGGAGAAGAAAGGAAAAGGCTGGAGTTCAGGATCAAAGCCAAATATCAAACCCAAATGATCGGTAAGTCAGTAATGAAAGGAGCAGCTCAGATGAACTTTGCCAGACTTTCTTGGATATTACTTGGCTACTTTTGGCCAGTCATTTATAAAGCAACTCTTATCCCAGGGTGTCTTAAAGTTATTGTAAAGTCTTTCATACTAGCTGGTCCATGACCTTCACTCTCTTGGGAATCCCTTCAAACTTATATAAGATGTCAAAGGATAAAGGATAAACATCCATCACAATCCAGGACAACCATCCACTCCAGGCTTCAAGCTAGGGTACAGTGACAAATGTCCTTCTCTCTGGATGAATATCTATCCTTGTGGACACCACAAAAAACCTAAAGCCAAATATTAACAGGTAAGACACATTTATCTGGAGGGACCAGATAGGAACACTAGAGAGTCCCAAAGGATGGTTCTGCTCCACTCTGAGGTTGGTGTGAACTTGGAGCAGCAGACTGTCTCAATGACTGAGGCCTGGAGGCCATTTCTGCCACCCCGGGAGAATACAGAAGGTAAATTCAGGGAAAAGATGGGAAGCAGAAGTGAGGAAAGAGTTTGTGAGTGTTTTTAATTAATTAATTTGTTTGTTTGTTTGTTTGTTTATTTATTTATTTTAGAGAGAAGGGAAGGGAGGTAGAAAGAGGGAGACAAACACTGATCAGTTACCTTTCACACATGCCCCAACTGGGGGGGGGGACCAGGCCCACAATCCAGACATATACTCTCACTAGGAATTGAACTGATGACCTTTCACTCTGTGGGAGGTCATCCAACCAACTGAGCCACACTGGTGGTAAGGGCTGTGACTGTTGTTGAGCAGAGGGGTGTTATCTTTATTCCATGGTTCATCCACATTTCAATTTGGCTTGGGCAGGCTCCTGGGTCTGCCTACTCTCCAGAAACCCAAGTCAATAGCTCCCGTTCACCAGGTGCTCTAGGGAGGAAGCAGGTTGGTGGTGGCTAGTTCTGATCAGCCCTGGGGAGAGGACTCTGGTGAGTCTCCAGTGCTATTAGCCTGGGGAAAGTGAAAGATGGCTGTGGTTCATGGGTAAAGAGGGAAGGGATGTGCTTAAATGATATTGAACTAAGAGGAACTAGGCAGAGGAACTTAATATCACCCCAACTGTAGTAGCACAGACTCCCAATGCAAGCAGCTGACCCTAAGGACAGACCTCAGACTAGGGGTAACCCAGGATATGGAGGTCAAAGACAGAAGAGAAACACTAGTCAGGAAACAGAATTATCTCCACCATTAAGAGACCATAAGAAGCCCTTACCTCATCCTCACGCATCAAGTTTGTTGACTTTTTGGTTTCACAGGTGTGTGCCCCGTGAGCAAGTTGGCCTTGAAATACTTGCTAACTGAGAGAGGCTCAGGTAATGCCGTGGTTATTGTGGTGGGCGGAGCTGCTGAAGCCCTCATGAGCCAGCCGGCCATTTCTACCATCTACCTTAAACAACGTAAAGGTTTTGTGAAGCTGGCACTGAAAACGGGGTGAGTCTCTAAGTTCTGGTGCCCTATTGTCTGAGTGCCATAGGTCCTCTATCCCACCTCTCCAGAACGGTGTCCTTCCTTGGAAACTTGTACAGGGGGCTCCCTTTTGACTCTGATTAATTCTCTCTACTTCCTCACACTGTCCCTTAAAGGTGTTCAGGCCTCCAGACACATTTTGGTGGGCACTTTTTTTACCTGAAGTTGGAGAAAGAACAATAGAAGAAAACCCATTAGCCTGGTAGGCAGGCTGGGGGTATGGAGAAGAGCAGATTCACTCTATATAAACCTATTAACTGAGAGGCCTAGAAAACCTACCCAGGGCAAGGAAGGCATTGGGCTTGATATCATTGGGATTGCAAAGACGAATAAGACATGATTCCTGCACCCAGAGAACATATAATCTGGTTTGAGAAAAAGAATGCATTCATTCAGCAGTTATTGAACACCTGCTGTGTGTCAGACATAGTACTAGGCATTGAGGATGTAAAAATAAGTAACACCTTGTCTCACCTTTAAGGAACTCAGTCCAATAGGGAAGACAGACATATAATTATAAAATATATCCAGAAGAAAACCACTTACCATCTCAACTACCACCCCAGTTTAAACTCTCCCCTGCTCTCCCCTGGATTATTACATTGGTCTCCCAAGGTCTCTCCCTGCTTCTATCCTTGTCTCCTCCACATACAAGAATCTGTTCTCAACTGTAGCCAGAATGATCCTATTTTTTACTGAATTTATTAAATTTATTGAAGGATCCTATTTTTAATTGAATTTATTGTGACATTGGTTCACAATACCATACACTTTTCAAGTGTACAACTCAACAAAACATCTGCACAGTGCCTTGTGCACCCATTGCCCCAAGCAAAGCCGTCTCTTTCTGTCCCCATTTATCCCCTCTGCCCACCTCCACCACTCCCCACCTCCTTTCCCTTTGGCTATCAATACACTGTTGTCTGTGTCCATGTGAAAGAATATATATATTTATATTTATATTTATATTTATATTTATATTTATATATAATAGAATATATAATATATAAAAGAATATATAATGTATATATTCTTTTTGCTTAATTCATTCAGCTTCTTTCATCCAGTCCCCCAACATACTTCCCTTCTGACAGCTGTCATTCTGTTCCATGTATCTATGCCTATGTTCCTATTTTTTTCATAAGTTCATTTTGTTCATTAGATTCCACGTAGAAGTGAAATCATATGCTGTTTGTCTTTCACTGACTGACTTATTTCACTTTGCATAGTAATTTCCAGGTCCATCCATGCTATTGCAAAAAGTAAGTGTTTCTTCTTTTTAGTGGCTCTGTAGTATTCCATTGTGTGAATGTATCACAGCTTTTTTCTAAATTTTATCTTTTTAAATATATTTTATTTATTATACTATTACAGTTATCCCATTTCCCCCTTTCACTCCCCTCCACCCTGCACACCCCCTTCACTGACATTGCCCCCCTGCTTTAGTTCATGTCCATGGGTTGTACATATAAGTTCTTTGGCTTCTACATTTCCTATACTACTCTTACCCCCCTTTTCTATTTTCTACCTACCATCTATGCTGCTTATTCTCTGTTCCTTTTACCCCCTTCTCCCCCTCCCACTTCCCTGTTGATAACCCTCCATGTGATCACCATTTCTGTGGTTCTGTTCCTGTTCTAGTTGTTTGCTTAGTTTGGTTTTGTTTTTGTTTTAGATGTGGTTGTTAATAATTGTAAGTTTGCTGTCATTTTACTACTCATATTTTTATCTTCTTTTTCTTCGATAAATCGCTATAACATTTCATGTAATAAGGGCTTGGTGATGATGAACTCCTTGAATTTGACCTTATATGAGAAGCACTTTATCTGCCCTTCCATTCTAAATAAAAGCTTTGATGGATAGAGCAATCTTGGATGTAGGTGCTTGCCTTTCATGGCTTGGAATACTTCTTTCTTGCCTATAAGGTCTCTTTTGAGAAATTAGCTGACAGTCTGATGGGAACTCCTTTGTAGGTAACTGTCTCCTTTTCTCTGCCTTCTTCTAGAATTCTCTCCTTCATTTTAATCTTGGGTAATGCAATTATGATGTGCCTTGGTCTGTTCTCCTTGGGTCCACCTTCTTTGGGACTCTGTGAGCTTCCCAGACTTCCTGGAAGTCTATTTCCTTTGCCAGATTAGGGAAGTTCTTTTTTAATATTTGTTCAAATACCTTTCCCACTTGCTGCTCTTCCTTTTATCCTTCTGGTACCCCTGTAATTCGGATGTTGGAATGTTTAAAGATGTCCAGGAGGTTCCTAAGCCTCTCCTGATTTTTAAAAATTCTTGTCTCTTTGTTCTTTTCTGTTTGGCTGTTTCTTTCTTCCTTCTGTTCCACTCCCTTGATTTGAGTCCCAGTTTCCTTCCCATCACTATTGGTTTCCTGTACATTTTCCTTTATTTCACTTAGTGTGGCCTTCATTTGTTCATCTAATTTGTTACCAAATTCAACCAGTTCTGTGAGCATCCTGATTACCAATGTTTTGAACTGTGCATCTGATAGGTTGGCTATCTATTCATTGCTTAGTTGTATTTTTTCTAGAGCTTTGATCTGTTCTTTGGTTTGGGCCATTTTTTTTGTCTTGACACACCTGTTACATGGTGAGGGGCAGAGCCTTAGGTGTTCACCCAGGCAGCATAACCCACCTCCCTGTGTTGTGATGCTGTATGTGGGAGAGGGGTCCGAGAGGGAACAATGGCACTTGCTCCACTCTCTGCCAGATTTTGGTCACTTCCTCTGCTTCCCACAAGCAATTTGGGCCCTTCTGGTGCTGATTCCCATGGGTTTTTGTATGTTCTAGGACCCTGTGGATCTCTCCAATGAACTCTTCTGTGAGGCTGGGAATTTCTCCCACTACTGTCTCAACCCCCACCGATGTTTTCAGTCTGTGGTTCAAGGCTTTATTTTCCTGCACCAGGGCCCTGGGTTGGGCAGTCTGTCCCACTCCCCAGTTGTTTCTCCTGGTTTCTCTTCACATGAATTTGGGACTGCCTCTCCACCAGCTGCTGCCTTGCCAGCCAGCCACTGCCTTTCTGCAAGTCCTCTCTGCCCGGCTGCCTGTCTCCACCCCTCCTACCAGTCTGGGTGAATGTTTCTTCTTTAACTCCTTGGTTGTCGGACTTCCATACAGTTCAATTTTCTGTCAGTTCTGGTTGTTTTTTGTTTGTAAATTGTTTTGTCCTTCTTTTGGTTGTGTGAGGAGGCACAGTGTGTCTACCTATACCTCCATCTTGGCTAGAAGTCCTTTTCTCTAAATTTTATAATCACTGTTCTTCAAATCATTTGTATTTTGATTATCCCAATTACCCTTAACATTTCTTTAAATTTCTAAATTTCCAACAACATTAAAATGCATACTCAGGAAAGACTAAACATATAAAGCTTCTTGAAGAAATCATAGAGGATATTTTTATGAACTCTAGGAGTAGGGAAAGATTTCTCAGAGAGGTGTATCACAGCTTTTTTTATCCACTCATCTACTGATGGACATTTGGGCTGCTTCTAAACCTTGCCCACTGTAGATAACACTTCAATGAACATAGGGGTATATATATCCTTCAAACTGGTGTTTTGGGATTCTTAGAATATATTCCCAGAAGTGGGACCTCTGGGTCAGAAAGAAGTTCCATTTTTAAGTTTTTTTAGGAAACTCCATACTATTTTCCACAGTGCCTGCACCAATTTTCATTCCCACCAACAGTGAGTGAGGGTTCTCTTTTCTCCACATTCTCACCAGCACTTGTTGTTTGTTGATTTATTGATGATGGCCATTCTGACAGGTGTGAGGTGATATTTCATTGGGGTTTTAGTTTACATTATGCAAACTAAATGATGTAGCTTTCCATCATTAGGTGATTAATGATGTTGAGCATTTTTTCATGTCTATCGGCCATCTGTATGGCCTCTCTGGAGAAGTGTCTATTCAGGTCCTTTGCCCATTTTTAAATTGGGTTGATTGTCTTCTTGGTGTTGAGTTGTATAAGTTCTTTATGTATTTTGGAAATTAACTCTTTATCAGATGTATTATTGGCAAATATGTTCTCCCATTCCATGGATTCCCTTTTCATTTTGATGATGATTTCTTTTGCTGTGCAAAAGCCTTTTAGTTTGATGTAGTCCCATTTATTTAATTTTTTTTCTTTGTTTCCCTTGCCTCAGGAGACAATCAGCAAAAAATATTGCTCTGAGAGATGTCTGAGATTTTACTGCTTATGTGTTCTTCTAGGATTTTATGGCTTCATACCTTACATTTATGTCTTTAATTTATTTTGAGCTTATTCTGGTATGTGTTGTAAGTTGGTGGTCTAGTTTCATATTTTTGCATGTACCTGTCCAATTTTCCCAACACCATTTTTTGAAGAGACTGTCTTTATTGTATGTTCTTGCCTCCTTCGTCAAATATTAATTGACTATAATGGTATGAGTTAGTATCTTGGTTCTCTGTTCTGTTCCACTGTCTATATGCCTGTTCTTATGCCAGTACCAGGCTGTTTTTATTACTGTGGCCTTGTAGTATAGTTTGAAATCAGATAGTGTGATACCTCCAACTTTGTTCTTCTTTGTAAAGATTACTGAGGCTATTTGGGATCTTTCGTGGTTCCATGTAAATTTTTGGAATATTTATTCTAGTTCTGTAAAATATGCCATTGGTATTTTAATAGGAATTGTATTGAATCTGTAGATTGCTTTGGGTAGTATGGGCATTTTAATGATGTTCATTTTTCCTATCCATGAACGTAGTATATGGTTCCACTTATTTGTATCTTCCTCAGTTTCTTTCTTGAGCATCTTATAGTTTTCCAAGTACAGGTCTTTTACCTCCTTGGTTAAATTTATTCTTAGGGACTTTATTTTGTTGTTGTCACCATTGTTGCAATAGTAAACAGGATTGTTTACTTAGTTTGTCTTTGTGATAGTTCATTATTGATGTACAAAAGTGCCACCAATTTCTGAATGTTAATTTTGTATTTTGCTACATTACTGAATTAATTTATTAGATTTGTAGGTTTTTTTTTTTTGGTGGCTTCTTCAGGGTTTTCTATGTACAATATCATATTGTCTGCAAGTAATAACAGTTTTACTTCCTTTTTTCTAATTTTCATGCCTTTTCTTTCTTCTTCTTTTCTGATTGCTGTGGCTAGGAATACCAGTACTATGTTGAATTAGAGTGGTGAGAGTGAATGGACATCCCTGTCTTATTCCTGATATTAAGGGAAACACTTGTAGTTTTTGCCCACTGAGTATGTGTGCTGTGTGTTTGTCATATATGGCCTTTATTATGTTGAGGTATGTTCCCTCTATCAGGATGATCTTATTAAACATGAGTGAAATCATGTCATTACTCCAAATGCTCCAATGACTCCCATTTTACTCCAAGCAAAAGCTAAAGTCTTTACAAGGGCCTTGAGGACCCTATATAATATGGCCATTGGCCACCTCTGTAACCTCATCACCCACTGCTCTCCTCCTTGCTCACTCCCTTAGAGCTATACTGGCCTCCTTGTTGTCCCTCTAACAAGCCACATGTTCCTGCCTTATGGCCTGTGCCCTAGCTGTCCCTCCTATCAGTATGATCTATCCTGACTGTCCTGCTCTCTCTTTTCCTTTGCATTTATCATTTTCTTTTTAAAAATATTTTATTTGTTTTATTTTTAGAGAGGAGAAGGAAGGGAGAAAGAGAGGGATAGAAATATCAATGTGTGGTTGCCTCTTGCCTGTCCCCCACTGGGAACCTGGCCCACAACCCAGGCATGTGTCCCAACTGGGAATCGAACCAGCAACCCTTTGGTTCGCAGGCTGGCAGTCAATCCACTGAGCCACACCAGCCAGGGCTCATTTTCTTATATATCATCAATTTTATTTATCTACCTGTTTTTGTTTGTTTGTTATTATTATTAATTGTCTGTCTTCCATAAAGGTAAACTCCATGATTACAGAGATTTTAAAAAATTCATTGTGTTCACTGATGTATCCCCAGGGCTTAAAACAGTACTGAAATGTAGAAAGAACTTAATAAATACTTGTTGAATGAATGATGTATTATAATGAAGATATGTAGAAAGTTCTATGAGAGCACCAATTAATGGAAAGACTTTCACTCAAACAAGAAGTTATATCAGTGGGTGATATTTAAATTGTTAATTAAAATATTAGTAGGATTTGCCAATCAAATCAAAAGGCAGAAACAATTCAGGGGACCTACAACATATGTGGCATTATGCCAGCCCGTAGAGACTCATAGATAAATGAAACAGTTCCCAACTTTGATCAGCTTGACAGATAACTGAGGAGTCAGACAGGTAAAAAGATGACTGTTAGAGTTAAGATAGTGTTAGTGTAGGAGAAAAATAGGCATTAGGTGAGGGATACCTAATCCACATTGTGGGGAAGGAAATTAGAGGTCGTCAAAGTCCCTTTAAGAAGATGAAATCAGAGCTGAGTATTGAAGAGCAAAATAGAATTAGTCACATGAAAACAGAAAGAAGGCATTTCTGGCAGAGGGAGCAGAATGCACAGAGACACACATACAAGAGAGAACTTGGCACAGTTAACATGCTTAGCATAGCAGATGGCAAAGAAAGGTTTGGGTGAGGGGAAGTTAGCCAGGTAGGTAGGGCTAGAGTGAAAAGCCCATGATAAGCAGTGTGGTACAAAGTGAGGAGCTCTGGATGAATTTTAAAGAGAGGAATGATATGTCCAGATACGCAGGTTAGGAAGATTACTCTGGATGCTGGGTGCAATAAAGGCAGTTAAGTTGCCCAAGATTGGTTTCTTTTGATCACAGGACAATGTGTAGCAGCTCTTCATAAAGGGTTCAGTTGGGAGGGTGGGGCATGGCAAGAATGAGACATAGGCTGGAGATTCTTGGGTGCTTGGGTTCTTGTCCTACACTGGGGAGATTTAGAGATTTCCCATCTTGGTGAGGGTTTCAGTGGGAGAAGTTTCCTGAGAAAATGCATACTTCTGCCCTTCTCTTTGCAGAGCATACCTTGTCCCTTCCTATTCCTTTGGAGAGAATGATGTTTACAAGCAAGAGACATTCTCTGAGGGCACATGGATAAATCTCCTCCAAAAAATATGCAAAAAAATTGTGGGACTAAATTTCTGTGTCTTCCATGGCCGAGGCCTCACTCGAGAATCCTGGGGCTTCCTGCCTTTCAATCGGCCCATTACCACTGTTGGTGAGCTTTCAGTATCTCTGAACCGCACTGGTTCTGGATTCCCACCACCTCCAAGTCACACATCAGGTCCCAGGAGACCCATGGCACACAGCTGGGACAGGAAATGGGAATTCCATTGGGTGTGGTGGAGGGCATGGTGGGAAGGAAAACTGAACAGATAAGAATTTTGGTCATTCACCAGTGGGAGAGAGTTCAACAGCTGCCATGAGGGCATCATTCACTTACACTTCTTGGGCACTCCCCTGAGTTTGTCCTCATTCTATTGTGCATGTGTAACATTAGGTATTTGGAGAATATGGAACAGGATGAGGTTGGAGTGGAGGGGGAAAAAACAAAGGAGTTTCAGTATGTGGCTCCCTCTAAGGGATGGGTAATCTGAATTGGGAGGGAAATCTAATGCTTATCTCTTCTTCCACATAGTCGGGGAGCCCCTGCCAATCCCCAAGATTAAGAATCCAGATATGAAGACAGTAGACAAATACCATGCACTCTACATCAGTGCCCTGCGCAAGTTGTTTGACCAGCACAAAGTTCAGTATGGCCTTCCTGAGACCGAGAATCTGACAATCATATAACAGGAGCTGGGTTCCCTTATTCTTAAACCCTGAAGCATTGAAGGATTCAAGTAAGGCCACATGGATAGAAGAATTTTGGGAGAGGAAGGTGTGTAATAGGAGGCCAACCAAGCTACGCAGTACTTAATGAGTCAAGTTTGGGGGAAGAAACCAGAGGAACATGGGAAGACTGGACAACAACCCAGTTGAGCAAGCAGTCTCGTGAGTTCACAGGTGTTTTTTGGCCCCCTGACTCCAGCTAATTCTCAGAGCAGAGGAATGAGAAACCAAAGAACACTGTGCCACTTCCTCCTGATCCTCAATGACACCATCACCATTTAGGTTTAGACTTAGAAGCCTTGTTGAGAACAGGTATGGTCTGTTTCCTCCTAGACCATTTCCCTACAATTTGGGAACCACTACAAGATAAACTGGGGATCTGAACTGTGGTTTGCTGATCCAAGCTCTCAGTTGTGACTCTTTCTGTACTGGCAAAAAATTTTGCATGCAGTTATGCTGTTTGTTTTTAAAAAATAAAAATAAAGATCTGGGTATATAAAACCAAGTATGACTATTTCCTACTTACCCTGTGGTTCACTACTGTACTTTCCTCAAACCCAGCCAGAAAACTGGTCTGTGGAGAGCTATTTTCCTCTTCTTCATCTGCCCTTTATAGTGCCCCTGACAGAAAATGTAAGGAAGTGGAACCATAACTACTACACAGTGTAGGAAATAGGAGCAGAACTGTGGGAACTGAGAGGTACCCACCAAGGAGTCCATCTCTCTTGATACCACATGAACTAACTTGGGTCAGAAGGGAGAGAGCCACAAGACTATGCACCAGCTGTGAGTTGACTTTATGTCAAATACCTACTGTGTACCAATAACTATGCTATTATTTTCAAAACCTTTGTCTCAATGTTAACTGAAGCCCTACAAGATTGGCATCATTTTCATTTCACAGTAGCTAAAACTCATAGAGGTTATGTAACTGGCATGTAGCTTTGGATGGAGCTAGCATCCAAACCCAGGTCTTACTAATTTTAATTCAAAGTTCTTTCTAATGCACCAGTCACCCACTTCCTATTTCTAATTTCCTGGAGAACTCAGCTTCATTTTCCCCAGTGAGATCACATGGCTCCCCACTTAAATTAGTTCTTAAAATGCGGGCAAAAATGACATGAATTCTATTCAGAGTGGTCCCAGTTTAGGCTTTGGAGAAATAACTTATCAATGAAAAAAAACTTTCTATAGTAATAGAATGGAATTGAGAGTCCAGAAGCAAATGAATTCATTTATGCTCAATTGCTTTTTGCTGAGGGTACCAAGATAATTTAATGGAGGGAAAGAATACTCTTTTCAATAAATGATGCAGAGGCAACTGCATATTCACATGGAAAGGAGTGAAGTTGGAAGCCTATCTCATACCATACACAAAAATGAACTCAAAATGGATCAAATATCTAAAGTGGAAACTAAACCTGTACAACTCCTAGAAGAAAATATAGGGTAAAGTTTGCTGGCCTTAGATTTAGCAATGGTTTCTTATCTATGACATCAAAAGTACAAATGACAAAAGAAAAAAAATGGGAAGTTGGACTTCATTGAAATGAAACACTTTTGTGCTTCAAAGGACACTATCAAGAAAGTGAGAAAACTCACAGGAGAAATTTGCAAATCATGTATCTGATAAGAGAATAGTATCCAGAATATAGACAAAAAAACTCAATGACAAAAAAAGTCCAATTAAAAATGGTCAAGAGCTAAGTAGTATTCCACTGGGGAGATATATATTTTTTAAATAAAATATTGTGTATATGTTGTATATAATATAACATAATTATATATTGGGAAAACTCAGTATTGTGAAGATAGTGTTTCCAAATTAAATCGAATGTTTAATGCACTTCCAATTAAAATTCTCATAGTGTTTTGGTACTTGAGAAAGTTATTCCAAAATTCATCCAAAAGAATAAATAATCAAAAATACCCAGGCAATCTTTGAAAATTAAGAGTAATGAGAAGGAACTAGTATAACTAGATGTTAAAACACAATATAAATATACAAACATTAAAACAAAATAGGATTGTACAAAAATAGGTATACAGGTCAATGGGATAAAACCCAGAACCCAGAAATAGAAATAGATAGATTTATTATACCTACATCTTATAGGTCTATTCATATATATACAGCCATACCTTGGAGATATTGCAGGTTCAGTTGCAGACCACCACAGTAAAGTGAATTGCACATATTTTTGGTTTCCTAGTGCATATAAAAATGTATTTACTTCATATAGTCATCTGTTAAGTGTGCAATAACATTATGTCTAAACATGTACATAAATTAATTCAAAATACTTTATTGCTAAACAATGCTAACCATCATCTGAGCCTTCAGCAAGTCCTAATCTTTTTGCTGGTGGAGGGTCTGGCCTCAATGTTGATGAAAATGCAGTATCTACTCAGTGCAATAAAAAGCAAAGTGCAATAAAACAAGGTATGCCTATACTGAACACAGTATAAAAGAAACCTCACAAATAAATAGGGAGGGGTATATTGCTCAATAAATGATATTATAGTGTAAATATGCATCTGAGGGGAAGAAGTATAATGTCACTTCATACAGTATACCTGAATACAATTTATTCTTGTATTGTCATTTATTAATGTATTATTTTCCATATGAACAACTATAAGTCTACTTATGTCCCACCCTGTATGTTTTTTTAACATTTTATTTATTTATTTTTAGAGAGAGAAGAGGGAGGGAGAAAAAGGGAGAGAGAGAAAGAGAGAGAGAGAAACATCAACTGGTTGCCTCCTACATGCATCCCAAGTAAGGGCCTGGCCTGCAACCCAGGCGTGTGCCCTGCCTGGGAATAGAGCCAGCAACCCTTTGCTTTGCAGGACAACAGCCAACCTACTGAGTCACATGGGTCAAGGTTATATATTATAATTAGAATAAAGAGTTCTATTTAAAGACTCAAACCATAAACAAATAGCAGAAGAAAATGTAGGGAGCCTCAGAAAATGGGCTATGGGTTTAGTCTCTCTACTTAAAGGTTCCCCCAGGTCTCTTCCATTAGGAAGACTATCTTTGGTCCCAGTGCTTTGGAGGCCAAAGCAAAACCCCAACACAATGGCACAACACTATTATGTAAGTGTGCAGCAAAATCGGTGGCCAAGGTCCCTCAGAATTTGTCAAGCCCGAGAGTTGAGTGGGGCCTCTGCATGGGCATCCCCGAAAGGCTTCCCTAAGCACTGCAAGTCCAAGCTCCCTTTTGTCTTGTGGCTGTGTAACCTAATAAGAAAGTATCAAGAGGTACAGTGGAGCCCTGGCTGGTGTGGCTCAGTGGACTGAGTGCTGGTCTACAAACCAAAGGGTTGCAGGTTCTATTCCCAGTCAGGGCACATGCCTGGGTTGCTGGACCAGGTGCCCAGTAGGGGGCAGGCAAGAGGCAACCACACATTGATGCTTCTCTCCCTCTCTATCTCCCTCCCTTCCCTTCTCTCAAAAAAATGAATGAATAAAATCTTTTTTAAAAAGTAGGTACAATGGAGAGAGGTTAGAGAGAAAACAGATGAGGAGGAGGTTTCCTTGTTGGGGGAGGAAGAAGTCCTGAGGTCCAAGACTGTCATAGGAAACTCATCTTTTTTGAGCTTCCGCGAAGGAACCACCACAGTCTCAAGGCATAATATCTGAGGTATAATATCGAAAAACTAAGAAGTTGTTTGAGCCCTAAGCTCTGGATATCAGGACCTGGTGGAGGTTTTTCTCAGTAACTAGTATTCCTCTTTTCCCCAGTAACTAAAAGCAAAGTGAGCTTAGGGATGGCCTCAGACAGGGAACTGGTGAGTCACAAAACAGAGCAGTTAAGATGATAGCTAGAGGGGGACTCCACCTTCCTGACAAACCCAACTAGCTGGAGGTAAGCCAGAGGACACAGCCCAAAAGCATCTGTGCAAACAGGTTCTCCCTGAAGACAAGCAGAGTCAGGGAGATGCCTCAGTCCTTATTCCCAAGATCTCTCACACCATATGGCATATGCAGGTCATTACAGCACCTGCTGTTTGTACAGGATTAGCAGTTCAGCAAGTGTCAGACTGAATTGCTATCTGTCACTCGGTGCTTTCAAGCTGTCACAACACTATTTTGTCATTATTTTAGCATTTGTGATATTCTTACTATGTGACAGGGATTATTCCAGATATTTGGGTTGTAACACTAAATAAAACAAAGACCCTCCCCTCACAGAGCTTGTATTCTAGTTGGGGAAGGCTGATTAGCAAGCAAACAAGCAACACCACCAGATAATGGTAAGTGCCATGAAAAAAAATAAAGTCAACAGTGGGTCAGTGTGTGATGGGGAGTCTAATTTCAGGGGAAACTTACCCTGGAAAGGTGGTATTTGAACAGACATTGCAATGAAGGAAGGCAGCCAGTCATGTTGACAGTGGGGGTACATTAGTCCTAGTGGAGGGACCAGCAAGGACAAAATTTCTGAAGAGGGAATCTACTTAGCAGCTTCAGAAAACAGCAAGATTGCCTGGCAACTTTGTTAGAATGGAGTGAACAGGGGGAATGGAAGATGAGGTTGAGGCAGGGGAGTTAGAATAGGGAATGGAGGCCTCAAGCTCTAGCCGTCCCCTTCTCTGTCTTGGCTGGGACATCACAGACATGATTTTCACTGATGAGCTGTTCTGCCACTTCTCCCTCCCCAATTACCTTTCATTGGGAAGACCAAAAACATCCCTATCAAGAGAGGAGAGACAAGGATGAGCCATGTGGGCAGTAACCCCATCAGCATCAGAAGCAGAGGACCACCCTGTCCCCCACACTTGCCTACATTTGCCAAGTCTTTCCACCCAGACCCTATAGGATGACTCATTCTCTGATGATGCCCACTCTGTCTTCTCAAATGTATACTATCGTTTTAATAAATTTCCTGTGCCTTGGTAAGTCTTTCCGTTCTGCACTTGAATTCCTTCTTGGGCCGCAACAAGAACCTGGATGGGGTTGAGGCCTCCCTTGGCCTCCCTGGGTGCTACCTGGCATCAAGGTGAGAAAGGTAGAGAAGTGCTAGATCAAGTGGGACCTCATAAACCCCTGTGATGGCTTTCGGTTTTCATCTCAGTGAGATGAGGAGTTGTTGGAATGTTTAAAAAGAATTTATGGAAAATTTTAAGCATACGCAAAATTAGAGAGAATAGTATAATGAACCTCTATAAACTTATCACCCAAATTCAACAATTACCAAGATGCTGTCCTTTCTTTCATCTGTTCTAACTTTTCCTCTTTTTTACATGAACTGGTTTTTTAAATCCTTACCCAAGGATATGTTTATTCATTTTGGAGAGAAAGGAAGGGAAAGAGAGAAGCATTGATGTTAGAGAAAAACATTAATCAGCAGCCTCCCCCACATACCCCAATCAGGGGTTGAACATGAAACCTAGATATGTGCCCTGACCAAGGATTGAATGCACAACCTTCTGGTGTATGGGACAGCACTCCAACCAACTGAGCCACGCG